AAACTTATATATATCCCTACCCATATAATCAATCTCTCACTCACCTCCTCTGTTGGTCTCTGTTGTGAGTCTTGTTGGGCTCCTGGGATCATGTAGTGGGAGGAGAGGGGGGAGCATTTTCCCCTCCAGGTAAGGGGCTAAAATTCCCAGGTCCTGGAGTCCCCCTTTTCCAATCCACTGTTGCACTGGGGTGGGGGTGCTGGGGGATTTCGAGTGCCTGGGTGCCCAGTGATGGGTGCATGATCAGAGCGGGCAGGTTCCAGGCCTGGAAAAAAGCTGAGGTGAAATTCAGGGCTGCTGGAACCTGGGGAGTGTAGGCCTGGGTGACAGGAGCTGTGTAGGTCTGGGGCTGGGAGCTGGCAGGGTCCAGGGCTGGGGAATAGCAGCTGGGGAGTCTGGGCCTGGGTGACAGGAGTTCAGGGCTGCCCAGGGCTGGTTGAAAGGGACTGGCGCAGTCCAGGGGTGATGGAAGCTAGGGTCCAGGGCTTGGAGGGGGTCACTATCCGCGGTTTCCCTCCTACCCCATATAGGAGCATTGCGTGTCCCTCCCTGGATCGTGGGCCTAGCCCTTGCCCCGGCCTCCATCCCTGTGCCTGTCCCCAGTGCTGGTACTGGCCATGGTCACTACCCCAGCGCTCACTCTGTCCCCAGAGCTGATTCTGCACCCAGTCCCAGTTGTGGTCCTGATCCTGACCTTGCGACCAGGCGGAGTCCCAAGTCGGTCCCCACGGCACCCAAAGCCCTCACAACCCCTGTAGCCCTCACAGCTCTCATGGCCCTCACAGATCCCATAGACCTCACAGATCAGGAGCAGTGTCCTTCTGGGACTGGAGATCCCAGTCCCCCACAGTGACACCAGTGCCGTTCAGATGGAGATCTGTCCCTGAGTGCACACTTTGAGACCTGGCTGGACAGCCACTGCATTCACAGCTACCCACATCACCATGTTCTGAGCACTCACAACTGGCTGCATGTGAAATGCATGAGTCACCCTGCAGAGATTCCATTACTGAGGCACCAAACGTGGTGAGGTGGGGAAGAGCCTTTGGCTGAGGGTCTAAGGTGGGACAACTGCTGGCACCAAATGTGGCAGCTGATGTTGAGGAACGTGAGAGATTTAAAAGATGGGAGAGCATTTTACGAACGTTATTAAAGGACTTTAATAATAATAATGGCCAGTCTTCGCGAGCGAAGATCCGGGGAAGGTCTTTACACCTTCCAGCCTGCGCATTGGATTTTTAGGTGAGACACAGTGTGCGCGGAACTGAACCCACCCTTTAATCCTAAGGTTCATCTGCCGGGGCCAAGCGAGCTTGGACGGTGGCAGCGAGGTCCTTAGGACGTAGATGGGTTGCCTTTAAGGCTAATGAGCTCCATCTGGCCCGGGGAGTGGCCCTGACCAGGAATCGAACCCGGGCCTCGGCGGTGACAGCGCCGCGCCCTTACCACTAGACCACCAGGGGCTCCCAAAGGACTTTAATAAACACAAGGCATCTTACAAGAGCCTGGACAGTGTGGATATGCTACAACTTTACAACATGTGTTGTATTGGACTTTACTGACAAAAGTTATATGAACTATTAACGCATGTTATATGAGATTCTGTACCCCAGTTTTTCATATGTCTGAGCAAGCCTAGACATGTTCCTTTCCCCACTGTTCTCCCTTATCCCTGATTGGTCAGAGTTTGCCGCAGTGTGGGCAGTCTTGCAATTTACCCTTATTCCTATGATTGGCCCCTAGTTATGTCATGTTTGCCCCTGAGCTCCCCATTTGTTAAACCCCCCTATCAATTTCATACTCCTCCCCAGTTTCTAGCACGTTCTACACCTAACTCTATATAAGCAGTTGTCTCCCCTCAATAAAGGGACAGCATTTCACCTTCTGCTCTGTATGAACCTCTGTGTGCTGCCGTGTTTCTTTCCCCAACCAAACCGTGGCAACCATCCACAAAAACCCTACATACTGTTGAGGGTGCTGGAGGGTGAGGGTGCTGTGGGGTGAAGATGCCAAGGGGGTCAAGGAGCACCTTGACATCCTTGGCAGAGCATCACGGTGCTTGGCGGGGGGTAGGAACACTGTGGGATTTGGAATTCCTGGAAGCCCAGGGCTGGGTGCTGGGGGAAGCAGTCCTGTGCTTGGTGCTGGGTGCTGGTGGGGTCTAGGACTCAAAGATAGGGGCAGATGGGGTCCAGGACTTCCAGATGAGAGCTCTGGGTTTCCTTAGGGGCAGATAGGGGAGAGAAAGGGGAAAGCTCCCATAATGGTCAGTGGGGGGGTCCCAGGGTGGGTACGGCACTTGGTGGGTAGGAGGAGCTGGGGTCTAGGGGTGTCCCCAGGCTGGGAAGGGGGGAAATGTCTAAGGTTTCTCCCCCAACTCATGCAGTGTAGGGGTGCATTGGGTGCCCCTCCAGAGACTCTGGAACTCCTGGAGTGCTGGGGGTGTCCCCTAGCCCGAGCTGTGGGGGTGCTGGGTGCCCCCCACCTATGGGTGCTGGAATGGGAAGGTCTGGGTGTCTTGAGTGTTCAGCGTGATGGAGGTACTGCTGCAGGTCTTGTTCATGGTCACAGATGGGCTAGATGTGAGCTGCATAACGCAGCCTGCAGGGCCAGAGGAGAGGCATGAGAACTGGCATGTCAAGCAGAGCAGTCATGAATTTGAGATTTTGATCAAGCCCTAGGCAGACCAGTATCAGGTGGGACCCCTGGCAGTGGGAGCTTAGCTCCCCACAGCAGAAACAGCCATGCTCCTGGGTGCGTCAGTCACTCCACTGTTCCTGATGTCCCCACTGCCCCCTCTGTCCCCATGTCCCCAGTGATCACAGTGAGCAGGCAGACAGTGCCACAGACTGAGCAGCCAACGCATTCAGGACTTGGCCAGGGGAGTCAGGGTGGCAAAAGGTGTCACTATCCAGCTTGTGGACATCACCGATCCCATGGAACCCAGATTCAGGTCACCAGTGCTGGTACAGGTGGGCACTTCCAGGGGCTGGGGTTATCCGATCCATAGGTTGGGGATCTCTAGGGGCTCAGGGGACATGAAGGGCTGGGGGTTGGGGGGTTAATGTCGTCCCCCCATAGTGGCCCCATCCCCAACTCCATGTCCCTCTGTTCCCCCTTACATGTGGCTGCAGGTGTCAGGGACACCTGGAGAGGGGAGAAGAGAGGTGTCACAGTGGGTGGTGCCTTAGAGTAAGCCCACATGTGTTGTGGGGTTGGGGGCACAGGAGGGTCCATAGGAGGGTATAGGTATCTTGGTGCATGGGCCCCTGGGAGCACTCTGGCTGTCCCAACAAGCCGGTGGTCGCCAGCACCAAGCTGAGCCTGTGGGGGGCACCCATGGGGGACAGGGGTGAGACATGGGCCACTCCCTACAACCACTCTCCTCTCCCCATAACCCTGTGTGCTGGTGACTGTCAGGCAGCCCAGTGAGTAGAGGCCAAAGGCAGGTGCCAGGGGTGGGTCTCCAGGCCTGACACTGCAGGGAATGATGCCATTCGACATGGAGTTGTGCCCAAACCACTGAGGCTTCCCTTCCACTAAGAGTGCGGTCAACATCCACAACACTGCACACTTGTGAAGGTTCAGGGATCTGGGTGCTGTGTGCTTGGAGAGTCCAGAGCTGGGTGACTGGAGCTGGTGGGTTCCAGGGCTGCCTAGTGGGAGCTGGGGTGGGATTCAGGCGGTGGGATTCAGGGCTGATGGGTGCTAGAGGTCCTGGGCTAGGTGATGGGAGCTGGGCACGTTGAAGACTGGATGAAGGGGCTGGTGGCATCCACAGCAGACTGATGGGACCTGAGAGGGGTTCACCTCACATTTCCTGCCCTTTTTCACTCACATTTCCCACACTTTCTCCCTCATGTTTCTCAAACTTTCCACCTGGTATTTCTCATGATTTTCTCATGTTTCCCAACCATTTCCCCTAACATTTTCTGACCTTTTTCTACTCTCATGATTCTACCCTTTCCCCCTTACATTTCTTGCACATTTCCCTTTGTGTTTCCTGCGCTTTTCCCCTCACATTTCCTTTCTCTCCCCTTTTTCCTCACTTTCCCTCTCATGTTCTTCTTGCTTTTCCCCTCACATTTCTCAAGACTTTCCCCCTCTAGTTTTAGCACTTTCTCCTTCACGTTTCCTTGCCCTTTTTCTCTCCTCAGGTTTTCTGCCCTTTACCCTCTGATGTTGCCCACCATTTCCTCTCATGCTTCTTTCACTTTCCCCTTTATGGTTCTCTCACTTTCCCTCTCTTTTTTCACTCATGTTTCCCACCCTTTCCCCCTCATGTTTCCCAAAATTTCCCCTTTGTGTTTCTCATAATTTTCCCCTCACATTTTTCACACTTTTTTCTGCTTGTTTCCCACCCTTTTCCTATCCCATTCCCTGGCCTTTTTCCCATGCATTTCCCCCTCACGTTCCCCACTTTTTCCCTTCATGTTTCTCACACTTTCTCCCTCACACTTCTTGCCCTTTTCCTCATCAGATTCCTTGCCTCTTTCCTCATGTTTCCTACCTTTTCCCCTCACATTTCCTGGTTTTTCTCTCCCCCCATGTTTCTAATGCTTTCTCCTGAAGTTTCCTGGCCTTTTTCTTCCCTCACATTTCTCACACTTTTTCCCTCATGTTTCCTCCCCTTTTCTCCCCTCACGTATTTTCACTCATGTCTCCCGCCCTTTTCCCCTCACATTTCTTGCATTTTTAAATTAACTGACAGACTTGTTACAGACTGGCTTGTGGTTTTTGTGCGTACAGGGAAAAGCTCCAACACTGCATTAATGAGCGTCTGTTAATGGCCATCTACCCAGAGGGGGTGACAATGACCTCTCCGCCTGTCCCGTGCTGCTCCGGGCCAGAGTCACGCGTCGCCGTGGCCAGGGGCGCCCACGGGCGGCCCCAGGGAGCTGCTGGTGATGTGACCACGGCTGGCCGTGCATGGGGCGGGAGGGGCCGCGCAGCGCGCTGGGAGGCTCCGTCTCGCGGGGCTGGCAGTCCCGGCTGCCATCTTGTGCGTGGCGACAGTTTCAGCAATGCGGGCCCCATTCTCGTCTCCGGCGGCTGCAGGCGTGGATGAGCTTCCCGGGAGGTACGGGCGCTGTTTCCGGTCCCTGCAGGGACCGTTCGCGGCCAAGGCCGCCCCCAGTAGCTGCGAACGAGGAGCTGAGACATTCCCACCGTGGCGGCACCCGCTCGCTCTCACCCTCCCTCTCGGCGTGCCCGCCCAATCTCTACCCGTTCCGGTCCGGCAGCGTGAGGTGATTGGCCCCTCGGGCCCGGCAGCCGGAAGCGGGAGATTTGAACGGTAACAGGCTCCGCTGGCGGCTGCGCTGCGGGGTCGCTGCTCCCAGCGGGGTTGGGCTCGGGAGTCTCTTGGTGGTACCGCCCCGGGGACCGGGACTCGCTTGCGCTTGTTACCGAACAGCCCTGGCAGGGTCTGCTCCAAACGTGCCCGTGAGAGCAGCCGCCCTCCCCGGGCCGTAGCCGAGCCCCTTCCCGTGCCCGAGAACGTGAGTGCAGGCTACGATCTCTCCCCGCAGGAGCTGAGAAGAGCTGCCTGGGCCCTGCGGCTCACAGAATGGCTGGAGGTGACTATGCGGAAGTTCTCAAGTACTATGAATTACACGGAACAGTCGGCACAGGTGGGCTCAGTCTGGGAATGCAAACAGGTGTGTGTGACGTGTTCACCCGCCTGAGTGTTTATCTGAGCAGAGATTAACTGTTACTGCGGAGGCTGTGGGGCATATTTCCAGGGTGTATTTTGCGAGGCAGAAGTCTGGAAATGTAACTGGAAGGTGGTGGAGCGATCACTTTTTCCCCTAACAAAAGTGCTGCACATTGTGCATACAGGACATGCTCCAGGGTGACTGAGATCATAGGTAAAAAAGCTTGTTGCCATGCAGAGCTTTACACATTTTCTGTTTCAAATTCTAGGTGGGTTTGCAAAGGTAAAACTTGCACGGCATCGTCTCACTGGTGAAAAAGTCGCAATAAAAATCATGGACAAACTTGCTCTACGGGTAAGTCAAAAGATATTTTCTAAGTTGGTAACCTGCTACTCCTGTGGAGTTCTTGGGAACACAGGTGCAACTGTCTCTGTGGGCTGGTGGTGGATGCTAAACAGTAAATGACAACATAAATTATAGTAATTCAGAGTGCTGATGAGAATAGTAGCAACTGTACATCTGCCACTCTGGGTTTTGCTGACTAGTGTGTGAGAAGGGCAAGTGAGCAGTGACAGAGCTGGAGCTGCTTGAGTTTGAGCAGTTGGACATTTATGTGCTGTGACATTTAAGTGTTGTGCAATAGTCTACTTACTGTGATGTACAGGCTGTCAAACTAGCTGGCAATTTCATAGCTTGTTGCGTTCTCTTAGGATGATTTGCCTCGTGTTAAATTAGAAATTGATGCCATGAAGGACTTGAGTCACCAACACATTTGCCGGCTGTATCATGTGATTGAGACACCCAAGAAAATATTCATGGTTTTAGAGGTAAGAAACTGTGTTTCTGCTATGATGAAGGTCCCTGGGTTTAGCTATAGCAGTGGATGGTAACAAAGTCCAAATAAAACAATTCTTAGAAAGTCATCTCAATAACAAGTGTGTCCAAGGTGCTATAGTTTAAAAATAAAGTTGGCAATATTTTCTGTCTTACTGTAAAAGCCACTTCTCATAAGCAAACTAACTTTAATTTTAATCTCATGCTCCAAAAAATAGCACGAGCGGAATACACAGGACCCCAGAACTCCCACAGGGTTGTCACCTCCTGGGCAGTTTCTGTTGCCTGTGACATTAAAGTGACATGGCTATATGTGGTAGTTTTAATCTAGGCCTTTCTTGGTGACCAGTTTGTAACCAAGGAAGGGGCAGTGTTCCCAGTATTCCATACGATTTTTACATAAATTGGGGTATAAATAAGAAGGGAGGAGAGGCCTTCGCTCTCTTTCAGCGAGGTTTGGGAACAGTGGGTCCTTGCATTGGTCTTGCTTATCTAAGGCTGAGGCCTGCAGCGTCCACTGTCCTGCCACATGGAGGTTTGGGGAGTGCTGGCCGTGTCTGCCAATCCTGCTTTTCTAAGGGATGTGGTGAAATCTGTTTTGTTAGTTATTAGTATAGTTCTTGAGTTTGATCGCGTGTATCTGTTCGGTGTCCCTTTTTATCCCCTTTTGTCCTTTTTTTCCCTTTTTCCTATCCCTTCGGGGGGTGTTTGGATTCCCTTTTGCTGTGCACATAGCATCTTAACTATATAACTGTAATATACATAAAACATATATTTTTATATAACTAGCTTGATTTCGGGTTCTTCAATTTGCATAGTTTTTTTGCCCTGGGGGAAGAAGGGAGGGGGAAGGGGGGCGAATTGTTGCTGTGGGTTCGGGCATTTGGCAGGGAGCCAGGTCCGAACCATCTCACTATGGCAACACATCAGGCAACAGTTGGGCTCCTGGGCTTGTTGGGCCTGTTGCTGGCTGGCCTGGGACACATTTGGGTGCTGCTGGGATAAAGCAGAGAGAAGGGAAGAGTGCCCTCATTCATGTTTAGATTTCATGACTGTATTCCAAATGTTTTCTTTCTCCTACCTTCATGCAGTACTGTCCTGGAGGAGAACTGTTTGATTACATCATTTCTAAGGACCGCCTTTCTGAGGAGGAAGCTCGTGTATTTTTTCGGCAGATTGTTTCAGCAATTGCTTATGTGCACAGTCGAGGATATGCCCACAGGGATCTCAAACCAGTAAGTCTGAACAGCAATCATATTTGCACAAATAATAATGAAGACCCAGTTTTATTTCTCCATATGGAGTGGGTTCATCTAACATTTTATCTAACGTTTCCTGAATTTCTACTTGATTATTTCTACTTGATGTTTTGTTCCTCAGCTGAGCTGGACGCCGCTGTATCTCAGGAAGGAGCTTCCTCTGAAAGAGAAGCAGAATAGGGCACTCCAGTTGAGACTGGAGCAGACATGGATCTGACTTTGGTGCTTAGGCATTCCTGCTATCCTCTTTATTTCAGCTTTAGAGTTGTTGTGCTTCCTCTCTGTTGTGCCCACTGTTTTGTTGTCATGTCCAAAGAAGAAAGGTGACCCCACAGTTTAAACGAGTGGAGACTCAATAGAACGCAGGGGGAGGGACATGCCATAGGACCTGTGGCTTTACTGTCACTGCAGGGGTTAAGCATAGGTTTAGCGAATGGAACTCTTGAGACCATTTCTCTTTGAAGGGGTTGGAAGTCTGCATGTTTAAAGTCACTGGCAACTCTGAGAAAAGAAAATTCTTACTGTACAAGCATTTCACTAGGCAGCTCATGAAATCATTGTCTCCAAAGAACTTCTCCCCAAGCAAAACCTTCAGTGCACATCTTGGAAGTTGTCTCAGCTGGAGTGCTGCCAGATTTATAGGATCATGTCATACCTTTGGTGGGAAGTGACTTCTGTTGCTTCTGTTTGAATCTGTTGCTCAAAACAGTGTCAGACTGAGCTTCTTGGGGCTTTATCCAGTCACATCTTGGACCTCTCCCAAGGATAAGGCACAATGTCTCTGGGCAATGTATTCAACTCTCTGCTTTCTCCCTTATGAGAAGAAAGGGTTTTCCTTAGTTCCAGTCTTATGCCTCTTGTCATCATCCCGCTATGTGCTGCTGTGGAGGGGCTGACTCTGTCTTCATGTCTCCATTGAAGGAATTAAAAGGCTGCTGTGAGGTCTACTCTGAAACTTTCTCACCCACAGAGTGTCTCTCCCTCAGCCTCTCGTCACTGAAAAAGCACTCCAGCATCCTTGGCAGGCTCATGCCTAACCATGGAGCTTACCTTAGTTTGATGTCTTTCCTGTGCTGAAACTCGATGGGCTGTTCTTGCTGTGCTGAACAGAGAGTGAGTCAGTTCCCCCACTCTGCTCCTTTCACACTACCTGGGATATCGCTGGCTGCCTTTTCTGCCAGGGCAGGCTTCTGCCTCGCACTCAACTTCCTGTCTAGCAAACTTCCAGGCCCTTCTCAGCAGGTAGGAGCTCGTATTCCCCATCTAGAATACAGGACTTATTCATTAACAACTGGTCAAAATCTCCAAAGGAGGGCTCTAGATAAATTCTAGCTGCTAATGGCAAGAAGAAATAATGTGAAAGGAAATGTTGTTTCTGGAATAACTTGGGTACAGAAGAATTCATTATTGCTTTTTGTTTTACTAGGAAAATCTGCTGATTGATGAGGAACATAATCTGAAGCTGATAGACTTCGGACTTTGTGCAAAGCCAAAGGTAAGAGTGTCAGTTTCTCTCACAGAGCAGAGCTAAATCAACTACAGTGCACACCTAAGAATTGCAGGTGTAACTTCAACATGCAGTGCAGAGCCTTGCATTGGATTCGAGCTGTTTGCTTAGTTGTTCCGTTGCTGATTTCTTGGTAGAGCCTTAACAGTGTAAGAAACCAGTAACCTGCATGTTCTGAGCAGAATTTCAGATCGCTTTCTCCTCTTACACATCATCTTTTATCCCAATCTAAGGCAGAGATCACCTTGTGTGTGTAGAGTACCTGCTTGTACTGTAAGAGCTATGTTGGTGTGCATTTTTTCCCCAATAAATTTCAATGGTATGTGTCTTTTTTCATAAGATTTGTCTATGTATAGAGATTGTGGATCAAATCAAATTCCCATTTACAAAGCCTCTGGATCCATATGCTTGTACAGAGTTATGTTCAAAGTTTAAAGTTGGTTTCTACACTGCTGCTCTGTCTGTCAGCTTCACCTGCAAGGTGGGTGCTTGTAAGAGACAATTTAATGGGAAGGTCTTGCCTGGCCCAAAGTCCTTGGATTGTTTTAGCTGAGTCAGGTTAGAGCACCCTCCAACCACTATCTTGATGGTACAATGTCATCTTACTCTGATTTGCTTAGAACAAAGCCCAGGCAAAGTAATTACGTGTTTTTAATAAGGCAGCATTTTTTTGTGGTTCTTTATGAAGTTATTGCATTAAATATTGGTATAAATATCTAACCAGCCTCATGCCCAGTAGCTTTTGGGTCACTGTTTCCCAAGTTCCATCTCTTCATGGTCATGAAGTATTCCTATCACAGGAGGAGCTGCAGAAAAGACTAGTGGGATAACAGGTGAATGAGCAGCTTGGGATCTGCATGTTTGCAGGACACTCATGGCCTTGGAGAGTTTTTGCCTAATGAACCCAAATATTATTATACCAAAGCAAAGTATAAGGTGTATGTAGATAGACAACAGAGGAAAATGAAGCCTCTGAGGCCTCTTAATACGTTGTTGCTAGAAGACACCATCTGTGTTAGAGACAATACTTCTGTGTTATTGGTTTCCCGTCTTGTTCTAGGGTGGCCTTGATTACCATCTGAACACATCCTGTGGAAGCCCAGCTTATGCAGCACCAGAGCTGATTCAGGGCAAAGCATACATTGGCTCAGAGGTATGTAGCATAGCTGGGGGTCAGGGTGGTTTTTTTCTTGCCCCCTTTGTATTTAAAGGTGGTGAAGTTGAGATACACACCCTTGATGTCTCTCTTCAGTGTCACTGGATAATGTTACCTCAGTGGCTCTCAGAAGCTGCATGACTGACAGCAGTCACAGCCTGGAATAGCATCTCTTAGCCACAGATTCTGCAGCTGGTTTGTTCATGTCTTATTAATCCTTTGCTGTCTCCAGGTGTTACTCTGTGCTTTAGTGCCCTACAAAAAGTAACTTATACTCCTTCCTTCTACCACATTATTTCGAGCAGCAATTTGTTAATTACTCAACTGTTGCTTTGAATTTTTGTGCAGTCTCAGTGTCTTGTGTATTTTACCTTTAAATTTGTGTATGAAAACTTGCTCTCTGCAGTGTACAGTGTAGTAAAATTAGAGAGAAGAAAATCTTGCATTTATCCAGCTTTGATTCCATGTCTGGAATATTAGGGCTTGCTACTTGCCTTTGTCAAACCATCCAAAATACTGTAATTGCAATTCACTCAAACTTAACTGGCTCTACTGTTGGGTGGATTAGTCTTTTTTCCTTTACTGCCCTTTGCACCACTGTCCCTGTCCTCTAACTCTTGTTTTCTTTTTTTGTTTTGTTTTCCATGAAGTCAGTGTTTCTCAAACCTCCTTTTGTTTTCTGATTGAAGTGTGAGTTACAGTATAAAGCACATGGACCTTGTCATGACTGTACAGAATAAATAGAGGGGCTTTAAAGCTGATTGTAACTGTGCTGACAGGTATTGTAATCAGTAACACATTTCAATACAAAATCCCTTCCAGTGAATTTGATTTAATTTTTGTTTCAGACATCCTTGTAGGTTGAAGGTAATGCAGCAATTTAGTGACCTAATGAGAGGATAATAGTTTTACCAGTGCTCCAGCTTGAGTGAATTGTAAACTGAATTCTGGTTGTGTGCTTTCACTTGGAATGTACAGAGTTCTGGCCAGACTTAGGGAACCTACTTTTTGCGAGTTGCATGTGCCAAAGGGAGATAGTGTTACCTGTCTCTAAGCCATTGTAGACAGATCCGGTTTGTGAACTCACTCATTTTTATTTTTTAGGCAGATATTTGGAGTATGGGAGTACTGCTGTATGCTCTGCTGTGTGGTTTTCTCCCCTTTGATGATGACAATGTCATGGCTGTCTACAGGAAGATCCTAGTAGGTATTCATGGTGCGAGAATACATGAGGAACAGGCATCTCTAAGCATTATGAGAGGCTTTTGCTTTCTGATGGCAGAACCTGTTGAGCTGTGCTTTAGGCAAAAGGCTTATTTGTAGAATTTTGTTATGCTTTGTTACTCTTCTGATCAATATTTTGTGGATTTGTTTCTGTCTTCCATAAAATCTGCCATAAAATCTGTGTTGAGAGGAACAGCAGTGTTGAGTATGGGCTTTGGGTTCGTCTATCTCATCTTTCTCTCACCCAGGGTCTAGTATGGTTAAACCTCCCCAGAAAAACTCCTTGAGAGTTTTCAAGGGCTACTTTGGCAGGAGGCAGCTAGCACAGGAAGTATTTTTAGCATGCATAACAGTCTGAGCTCCATAAAGTACCGGATTAGTTCATCAAAGAGTGTGGCTTTTTAATCTGGAAATGGAGTGGACTTAAATACCTGGATAGAAAATCCCTGGGAAGCTTAGTTTGAGTGGTTCGAGAGAACTTAAAAAAATTTTAAAAAAGGGAAAAAGAAGGAAGGAAAGGCTTCAAATAGGTTGTGTAAAGGTGCTGATGTTTAGATGAGGTACCATTAAAATTACATGGCTTCCATACTCACATAGTCATAGAATATCTTGAGTTGGAAGGGAGCCATAAGGATCATGAAGTCCAACTCCCTGCTCCTTGTAGGACTACCTAAAACTAAACCACATGACTTGGAGTGTTCACCAAATAATGCTAGTGTTGAACTGCGCTGAGACAACCAATGAGGTTTTAAAGCTTAGCCTGGGAGTGGTCAAAACCCAATCGCGTCACAGGTGTTAAGATGCAGTCTTGCTATTTGCACTCCAAATTTATTTTAATTTTATGTGGCTATGAACTGGAAAGTGCTTGAAATGAGAGCACTTACCCACTGTTCTGGAGTTTAATTTCACACATTACAAATCCTGAAATTTATTGTAATCTCAACTTGGACCACTTGCTCCAAGTCAAATCTGCTGTTTGAATCTAATTAGAATCATATGACTTACTTACATGCAATATTTCTTTTCCTTGGAATGTTCCACATCTCTTCATTTGGGAATACTTGAATGAATGTCTTTTGAATGAAAAATCGATCTGTGTGGTAAATTCTGTAAAAAAAAACTTATACGTGGTATGATCTTATGCACCTGGTAGATATCGCAACTTATCCAGCATTGCCCTCAGTCCAGTAGATGAGAATTGTTTGTTACATCATGTTCTGTAGCAATATATTAAAAACAAAATTTAGATTACATACATTACTTAGTTTCAGAGTAAAACTGCATTGTAAAACAGCCGATAAATTATTCACAAATAACCTATTAGTAGGGTCTGTAAAGATGTAAGCTAAATTCTTTAAGCTGTGATGTCAAAGCAATACATACTCTGCTTAGAAATGTAGGCTGCATATAATACGAATGTTTTTTCATTGAGGAATTTGTCTGTAGAAAGAAAACTGCCATGACAAAATGATAAGTACATTATTTGACAATGAGTATTTATTAATTTTTTTTTTGTCAATTTTCATTGAGAAGTAAATGATCCTTGATGGTGAATTTGGTTTGGTTTTTAGCCACTGTTGTACCTCACCTTTGAAAGCTGTTTTCAATTTTCTTCTAATTGAGAATTAAAGAAAACCAAGAGTAAATAATTTGAAAAACCTCACCTCTTAGACCTATAACCTTTTTCCTGTCTGCAGTATAAGACTGAAACTTTAGCATTGGATTTAACCTGTTCAAAAAAGAGTATCTTAATACTGAGGATGGTGTACTTTTAGTGTCTGAAAAGTATTGTTTTCAGTGAATCTTCACATTTCAAAGTGCTAATATCAGTCATTCATACTCCAGCATGTTTGCACTTCTAGAACTTCAGTATTGACTTGATACAATGAACAAAGCCAGTGGATAAAGGAGCAGGTTAGCTGCAAAAGTGGGCAGAGATGGAAGGTGGAAACTGCAGTGGGTAATTCAAACATGGCATTTTCCTTACTTAATGCAGCTGGTTTTTAGTACTACCATGATGTTTCTTCAAGTCATTCTTAAAGCTAACATGTTCCTGATATTCTTTTTTTACTGAGTACACATGTCACTATTGTCCAAGTACTTTAGCAGTTCCTTCTGAGATTCAAGGTTAGTTCTAAAGCTATTCTTTTCTGCAGAGAGGAAAATACAGTATTCCAAAGTGGCTCTCTCCTAGTAGTACGCTGCTCCTTGACCAAATGCTGCAGGTAAGGGTATTGTTTCTGCTGCATAGGTCCATAAAGTACTGTTACACAGGTCAAAACATTACATCACTGAAACATTTAAAAAGCATTCAGTGTTAGAATGAGAAGTTTAATTCTTATACATTTTTGAAGAAATGATTATTGTTGCCTTTGCTCAAAAATATTTGAGAATAGAAATAATTAAACAAAGTTTAAATGATTTAACAAAGTCTATGAACACCTTGCTTTTGGTTGTTCTTAATGCACTACAAAAGAAAAGCTCTTTTATAAATGAAGGTAAATTTCCTGAATATGTATTTGGGCTATACCTAGGGAATCTAACCATAATGCGGCATATCCCTGGGACATCTATTGTAACTGCATAGCTCATATCTTTGAGTGTGAGCTTCCTTTTAGAGAAGCTCTGAAACAATATTGGTGTCCATTTTTACCCCTAGCCACCTATTTTGTGTAGAAGACGAATTGTTTTTTCACTTCTTCACAACCTAAGTATCACTTTGATTTTTATTGCCCACCAGGTTGACCCAAAGAAGAGGATTACAGTCAAACACCTGTTAAGTCATCCTTGGCTTATGCAAGGCTATTCTGACGCTGTTCAGTGGCAAAGTAAATACCCAGTAAGTACTCTGGTCAGATGAATATTAAAGTGTTTAATATAATATTTATTGGCTTATTACCATCCTTACAGTATGGGGGTATGAAAGGATTTCTTCAAAGATGAACTTCGAGATGGCCATAGTTCCTTTCTGATTATTTTAGCTGTCAAAATATTATTACTTGCTCTTGATTTCTCTTGTGGAGAAATTTCAAATGTGTTTTCATCATATTCTGCAGCTGAATCTGCAAAATAACTGAATTCTTGAAGTATTTCTTCATATGAATGACCAGTTCCTTCTCCAGGCTGCTTGATACTTTGCCTAAGGTGCAAAACACAAATATTCTGGAAAGCATGCTAGACATGATTATGGTTTATCTTGTATGTAGTCCTCACTGAAAATGTGAATAAAAGATTCAATCTCATTGAAAGAATATTCATCCTGTCTCTGCATCACTTGTTTACTTGTGTGAGAGATGAAGGCAGAGGAAAAAAACCAAAATAATCTGGTTGTCAGCAGAAAGTGCTGAGAAGTTCCTGTATGTTGCCAGCCAATGCTTCCCATTGTCACCAGATGCCACTGTTTCTCTACATAAAGAAGAGCTTGACTGTGCTCGCAGTATCAGTGCTACTAGCTGGCTCTGGAAGAGATGTGCATGTCTAGTAGCTTTAGATATTTATGGACAGAGGAAAGAACAGCCTCTTTTCTAGTAAAAATCTCACTTCCTCTTGGGTGGCTTACTTGAATTCACAAGCTCTCACTTGTGAGGGGCCAGGCTGGGAAGCTGTATGACTTTTTCAGTCTGCTCCCTACAATGTTTAGTTATGATGCTGAACATTTGAAAGACAAGATCTAAAATCATCACTGACTCTTGACTCAGCCCACTGGGTTTCATGACAGTGTCACTGTGAGGTGTGGATTATGAGGCAACTTGAAAACCTTGTTTCAATATCCATTGTGTTCTTACAGCTGGGACATCTTGACGAGGACTGCGTAACAGAGCTTTCTGTGTTTCATGAGCAGAGCAGGGAGACTATAATGGAATTAATAACAGAGGTAAGGAGTATATATCAGTAATTTACAGTAATTAATGATGGTAACAGAGTAAAAAAATTTACTGTGTTATCAGATACTGTGTTATGTATTCTCAAGTATGACATTTTAAATACTTTGTAGATTTAAGGAGCCCCTGCAGAACTCTAGAATTTGGCTGTAGCTTGTAACTACAGTTCTGAAGTTCAAGTTTGTTTATTTCTTTTTCTCATTTAATTATGCTCATGATGTTTCCTAAATCTTACTGTTATTCCCCATTATGGTAAAATCCTTCTGCATGTCTGAAAGTTAAAGTAGGTTTTAAGAAATTTATAGTTGAACAACAGATGCCATTTGCTGGGTTAGCTCTTTGCTTTGAAATGGTTCAGTAAGTAGCAGGTGAAGAAAAAAAAGAGAAAAATATCAGAGCAAAACCCAGGTAGACTACAAAAGATATATTTTTTTGGAATTACTATTCACAGTTTTTTTTAAAAGTAGTGAGTCACTTTTGACTACAAATGACAAAAGTTGAACTGACTACTTCTAGAAAAATTGTGCAAAGGTTAGCAATAACATTGCAAGCTGTAGAAGAGACTTAAAGCATGATGCATGCTCCAGCTTTTACCCAAATCTGAAAATTCTTCCTTAAAATTGAATTTTTTGCTTCTTTGTAATTGTTAGCAGTGACAATAGTTTTTTGGGGTTTTTTTTAACAGTTGGGTTTCCCATGTAACTGTAGCAGAAGCAGACTTGTAAACTGCGTGTGATACTTACAATAGATTTTTGGAGTTGACGATCCTTGTTTTTCAGTTACAGCAAATAATCAGCATAATTTGTCTACATGGGGAAAAGTCCTTCCAAATAGCTTTGTGATACTTGCATAGTCCTTTACTGAAGGACTCCTAATTCCTTATAACTAATTCCAACTAACTGTATATGCTGCAAACCTACAAACATGGTGCTTGTGTTCCTCACACAAGCAGAGCTGCTGAAAATTCTGCAAAAAGTTGGTGCTGTTTGTAGGGGAAGAATGGGCAGGAGGGACTTCCAAAAAATCAAATGTCTGGTTGAAATATTTGATAAACTGAATTACTAGGTTTGACATTCACTTCAGTAGATAGATCCTGACCCCAGCATTAGTTTCCATGCTAGTGCATGAACTGCAGACTAACTTGCAACGAACCTCCATAGTGCCTGTTTTGTGATCTCAGACACATAAAGTGAATCACCTGAAGTCTGAAATTACACTGTGATCCAACATTAGGGTTGCACACCAGGTGGAAAAACTTGCAGAGATGCAGAAATTTTCAGAAGGCTGAGCTTGCCTGGTATTTGCAAGGTTCCCAAAGAGGAGATTAAAATACTTTTTTTCTCTCCCTGTCTTGCCAGTGGAAATATGACCAGATGTCAGCAACATACCTCTTGCTTCAATCCAAGAAGGCTCGTGGCAAGCGTGTTTGTTTAAGTTTTCCACGTGTAACAGGGCATGCCAGAACCATGCCATTGGCAGGCCTCAAGGTAAGCTTGAGTTCAGCAGGACAGCATCCTGGTTAAAATCCCGCTCTGCATTTGCAAAGCTCTGCCTGGGGAAACATGCTGGTGCCCTAAATATCATTAAGAGAACACATATGCAGTCAGACAAAGTCTTGATCATTAAACAGTTGAGTCTTATTAACACAATTTAGCAAGCTGGGCTGCTTCTATGGATTGGCTTTACTGGAATAGAACAGGCAGGACACAATGTATAAAGTACTGCACAGAATTCCCCTCTTGGCTGTTCATGTTAATGGGCCCAATACCCTGTTTGGCCTGTGTGATCATTCCAGATCTTGTTCTGTGATGACTAACTTCTTACTGCACTCCATGCTTATCTCTATGTATTTTTGTACCTCGGGTTGCATTTCACATGGCTTAGAAAGGAAAATCTGAAATATCATGGCATGTTACCTGGCCAGCCTACTTTGAGATGACATGGGCACTCTGTGAGCTGTTGGTCAAAGAGCCATTCCTTCCTCATCTGCTTCCTTTGGCAACATAATCCTAGAGAGGACACTTTATTTTGAGTAAAGGAAACATGTGGCTGCTATTTTTCTTATGATTGAGATTTTCAAGCACTTTTGTATATTTTAAGGGAGTTTCTATTCCTGTAGTTTGATAGCATGCAAATAGGACACTTCAGAAATTGGCCAAAGTTGCTAAAGCGCTTGAAGTGTTGTATATAATATGCAGCTATATGTACTGTTGGTGCTACTTGTCTGTTAGACAAACTCAGAAGCATTCAGTGGAATCTCAGACTTACCATTAGCCATTCCCCCTTGAGCTGAGGTATCTGTGTGAAATTGCCTGAATGTGCTGTTTTCTGTATAGAGGCAAGCACTCAGAAGAAATACTTTCTTATGTGTCTGATTCAGATCCATTTAAATCACTTCAGTTAACCCATACAGCCTCTTTGAGATGAGAATTGTAGGATTACCAGAGTTGTGTAACAGATTGTGAATCATAAGTGTTTCTCAGTATGCATAATGTGACTTCCATGATCATGGTATGTTAGCCTTCTACACTTCAATGATTAAATGGAGGTTCTCTAGGTGCAGTTGCGCTGATACTGTAAAGTTACTATATCTCTAGTGATGTCCTAGGTAAATTGCTCTGGCAAATGCTACTAACTAACATATGCATTATGCCTTCCCAGGTGATGCTGAAAATCACATCTACACAATACAACAATCCATTAATGCTCCAGCAGCACTCAGGACACATTTAACTTGTTCATGTGTAGATACTGTGGGTGAATATCAACTGAATTTGCTGAAACACCCACCTAGAAGAGCTCTCTAGCTGGACCTGGTCTAACGTGAAAACAACCAAGCAAATAGAAACTTTAATTCAGGCATTTCTGAATTTAGTGGCACAAGCTTGTATGTAATACTTCTTTATTTCAAGCAGTTTGATGTAGCAGGATATTGCAGAAAATTTGCCATGCCATGAATTTTATCTGGAACACAGTAGCCCAGGTATCCTAATCAGGCATTCATGTTGTAATGGAACATGATTTCAACTGAAATATCAGACTCCTAGATTCTTGGCTGTAGTTAGCAGCCCTCTGGTATGGGCTTTTGACTAAATCATCATGGTAGCTCTGGCAGCATACCAGTGAGTTCTGTCTCTATTCCAGTAGCAATGAGAGATCTGTTCACTGTGATATCCTTGAACATAGGCCAGAAACTTACCTGACAGCAGAATGTAACTTCCTAAAATGGTATCCATTCCAGCCAATGACTAGCAAATGACTGTGTGCAGTTTCACTGCAGTACTATGGAATAAGTCATTGGGAAAAGTTTCCTGAAAATAACAAAAGGTGTTGGAAAGTAAGGATACCTTGATACGCATCTGATCATATGTGATGTGAGCCATGACAGTTAACAATCTTGGCTGAAGTTATCCTTGATTTAAGGACAACTTTTCTGGGGAGCTACCCATCAGATGAAGGGTTCCAAATATGTTTTGGATATATGTGTTTACCAGCCCCCTTTCAAACTTTGCTCTATTCTTTTACAATTAGGATTTTTGGTAAAAAGAGACTGTAGTCCAAGCCTTGAATTCAAAGGTGGGTATTTCTGTGAGTTGCTTCTCTTCTTAACACACGTAATGAAAGATGACTTGGCAGTGATGCTTTGAGAATAGTTTCATATCTGCTTTTGATACAAATGACAAATCCACAATGATGATATTAAAACTTAGGTCACCATCATGGGAACTTCCATTATCAGGAACTTGGAAATTAGACTTAGATTTAATGGTGCCTGTCTGATGAAATTCTACTTCTAAGCATGCAGTGGAATCTCAACTGAATCTTTCTTTTCAGTCTGAAAACATTGTGACGTGTGAAGACTGCGATGAAATGCCATGTGTGTTTGGATCCACGGAATTTTCAAATACAGGGTCACTGTTTAAAGAGTCTTCTTCAGAAGAATTTTTTCTAAATACTCATGGAACAAAACAGGTGTTTGATAAACTATTCTTAATCCAAAAACAATCTCACTGAACATAAAAGTTATTGTATATTTAAATGTTTTGTGGACCCTAGCCAAGATGAGGTACAAACTGGGTAATGAAGTGTTTTAAATATATAGGCTGAACATATGTTGTGGCTTCCTCTAGCTGTAGGTCATGATTGATTTGATTATAACTTGACATCCAATTTGCATAAAATTAGCATCTAGAAAATGAATAAATGAGGATTTTAAAACTGACTAGAAAAAATATGATGGAGCAAACAAGCTAGGCCAGAGCTGCACAAGTCTCCCAAGAAGTGCAACCTGTCTGTGTTGAACAAGAAAATCCAATTAAGCAATTAAAATTTTACAATTAAGCCAAATGAAAATTCTTAGCTGTGTCTCAATGAGTCGGTGACTAACAGTTTTAAATGTGCAATCAAAAGAGTTTAGAAGAGCAGATAAAGTAGTGGCAAATTACTTGAGAACTTTATTAGCAAGTTATTGAGGGAATCAGAAGTACTGAAGAGTTTTAAACTCTTTTGCTCTGTAGGCAAGCATTGTATGGTATTTTTAACCTGCTTCAGAATTTCCTTTTCTGTAACATTCCTGAATGTGATCAGAATACAGCAAAGGATGCCTCTTTTCTTTTTGTTACATCTTCTGCAGCATTCAAGGCTTGATGCTCAATTGGATGATACAGAATTCATACTGTCAACTCCAGTGACAAGAAAAGTGGCATCTAAGAAGCATAAAAACAAAGAGAATGTAGAGACAGAGTCAACTTTAAGAAATGAAATGCCTTTTGCACTTCCTACTCCAAGGACTCCTTTTGTGAAGAGTCAGATTGAGACACAGGAACAAGCCATACCCTCTCAGGCACCTGCCTTTAAAGGTACATGGAATGTAACTAATGACAGCTTAGAACATATATGTAGCTTGGGAATTATTGGAATTCAAATATGAGCACAATACATGCGCATCCACACATCTGTTTCTGAAGACTTTTTACCCTCTTCACCATCTTGATTTTTCTAATATGTCTGGTAGAGTGCTGCAAGAGTTTTAACCATCCATCAGGGCATGTTACCTGTGTGCTAATTACAGGAGTCCTTACTGCTCCCAATATCACATATGAGTGCCTTTTGGCACACCCTAACATGGAGCTAAGTGCTGTGTTCCTAAAACTTGCACCTGGTTCTACTTTTCCATGAAGGCTGGGAACACGATTTCCCCAACACTCCAGTTTTCCTTTGTGATTACCGTAAGTGAAAATAAGGGTTCACTTTTAGTCATCTACTTTTATTGCTGCTTCTAAGGGAAATCTAACTTTTGGGTTTCTCATAGTTGCATATCAGCATTTTCACAGGAACAGTCCATTGTAGCATTGAAAATACTTCTGTTCACAACGTATGCATCTTGCAGCTATGCAATAAACCGCAGAAATCTGTCTACGTTGTGTCAGCTTTTCTGAGTTATAAATTTCAGTCAGCCTATCTAGCCATGTACATATCCTATATGTAGATTACTATTTCCTTCAATTACTGCCATAGAAGTTTTGGTGTTAATACTGTAAATGCTCTCTCTGTCCTTCAAATACCAAGTGTTCCTTGCAATAGGAGAGTCATCTGTTCCAGATTCTAAGGAACATTGTTCAGGAACAGTAAGTCCTCACAGGCTGATTCAAGGAATAAGGGATCTTGGACCTACTGCTGTTTAATGTCATCCTTTGTAAAGGGTTTAAAGAATTGCTATAAAAAGACCAGTCTTTCACGAGTTTGTCTTAAAATTGTATACAATAATGTGAAGTCTGACATCATGGTAAGTTTAAAAAGCAAAATAGGTACTCTCTGAAATGGGAAATGCAGAAACACTGTTTTAGCTCATTTATTTAGATTTTTGATTATGAAACAATGACAGCTAATTCTTTGATGCATTGAAAAATCTTTGATTCAGGAAAGGCATTAACACTTCCCTAGAAGTAGAAAAGTGGAAGTATTCATTAGAAATTTTGAGGTTTTTTTGTCCAGGATCAGGTGCAATTCTGTAGAAAGCTGAAACTTTGAAAATTGAAGTTGGGTTTAATTGTGCCAACTCATTTGATGACTATTTCACTTAGCGTTTTCTCCTGCACATTCAAAACCATGCTCTGCAGACATTGATTTTTTAGGCTGCTATGTAACACCTACATTATGTATTAAACATGGCTATATAAACTTACAACTTTTGTATAAGGGAAATGCATCAGTGAAGAACCCAACTATTTGATGCAGTGGATTGCTCAGTATTTATTGTGGGAGCAGTGGCAGAGCAAGAGAGCAATTCGGATCCTGAAATTCCTAATATTGAACTGCATTTCTGACTCTTAAGGTTTGACTTGTAGAGCCCTGGGGAAATCAGTTGCAGTTTTAATTTGTAGAGTAGAGGTAGTATTGTTGTTGTATTAAAAACATATTTTATCATTTTGAAAATACAGACCTGAGATAGCAAAGGGATCTGATTTTTGAAATAAATTATTAATAATGAGAAATTGTTGCTGAAAAAAAGAAAATATTTTATGCAAAGACATACCTGTTTGGCTTGGATGCTTTCTTTCAGAGAGCCAGTTCACTGCAGTCACCCCAATTAAACCCACAAACCTGACAAACACAGATGAATTCACAGCAGCTGAGGTTCTTCCCGAAACAAGGTAAGTGTCCAGTTATTTGTGTACACTCCTGATTTAGAGCAGGACTGCCTTAATCCATGTGCCGCCTAGGAAGCCTTGTTACAGCAGCAAGCAGTAATTTCTATTCTCTTGGTAAAAACCTCCCTTAAGCCCCTTTCTACTTTCACTAGAAAACACTGATGGCACAGAAAAGTTTTAAAACTATGTAACTCAATTATCTTTAGGATATATTCCTGTTTTCTATAATGTAAGTTCCTTCTTAGTCTAGTTCTCCAGAGGACAGCAGTTTCTAGATACATCTCTGGATTTAAACCTTTCAAACTTCCAGACAGAAACTCCTATAATATACTGCACTGGATTTGATTTTTTTGTTCTGGCATGTCTGGTAGTGTTTTAGTGACACGTCCAAAATAATTAATTTTTTAACACTGAGAGAAAAATAACAGATTGATTTGTCCATGTAACAGGTGTCACTCAGTGGAATTAGATCGCAACCTAGGTCATGTGGATAGCAGCCAAAAGAAGCGAAAAGCCAAAATATTTGGAAATCTTGAAAAAGGCCTAGATAAAGTGATCACAATGCTTACGCCAAGCAAGAAGAAACGATGCACTAGAAGTTGTCCAAGGAAACTAAAGGTATGGTTGGTGCAAAAGTCTTACAGGAGAACAAGTATTAGGACTATATTTATTACTATTATTATGGAAAACATCCAGTAACTTTAGAAATGCTCTTGTGAAAGCTTCTGTGACCTGTCTTGCCTGCTTTCTACAGTGAAGTGCTCTCACTGCATTGCTATTAACAAGACAGTGCCCCAGTTATCACAGTGAGACATCTTTTAGTCTGGACTCAGGCAAGTCATCAGATCGAGGTAGGAGTTTCACCATTGCTGCTTATAGTCCATCTAAACTAAATGTGAAGGAAGCAGGATGGTTTTAAAAGAGCCCTAGCTGACAGTTTTTCATGTTATTTGTATAGAAATTCTGCTAGCTGTCCCACTGAAAAATGCTAACATTCCTGGCTTAGGTTTCTGTAGCCCAGAAGCAGTATGTCCATTCTGGAGTCATCTTTAGATGTCTAGGGAATCTGAAATTACACTTAGAGCCTAAATAACTACACCCTGTGAAAGAGTTTCTGACAGTGTTCCTGTAATGTTGACTGTTTAAGTTTCGATGTCACTGTATCCAAGCTGGTTGGCTATTTATCCTTCTTTAAGTAGCCATAGAAAAAGCAGTTCCTCAGGTAGTGTGCTGCACAGAGCACTTTAATATTTCATTAATAATTTGTTCTTACTGAAATGACTCATGCGTTTAATATTAGCTGTGCAGAATGCACATCACGTGGCAGTGGCAAATGAAGTAAGTCTGGGTGTGAGCATTACATCGAGCTGTACAGGAGGGTTTCTGAGATCAGGGACACCCAAGCAGCAGCTCCAAGCCCTGGCAGGACCCAGAAGCCCTCAGCAGGCAACCAGGTGTGGAGGGGCATTTCCAGAAGCAGTAAGGGAGATATGAAAGCTCCAGGGAGCACAAGCAAACAGGGTGGGCAAATAGGGTGGTGCAGCAAAGGGATGTGGTGCAGCAGTTTGCATGGGCAGGGTGTGCGGGGAGAGTGCTGTACTCTGTAAGTACATCCACAGCCCAGCTGAGTGCTCTAGGTCTCTGCCATAATGGTGGGTAGTCATCTTGGAGCCAAAAACAGTGTGTCTACTGAGAAGCCCCTGAGAAGTCTGATGCTTCCATTCAGATGGAACTGGTAAGGAAGGAGATGTCAGTACAGGTGATAGCTTGTAATAGATGCCCAGATACTTCTACTAAAGAAAAGGCTACCTTCTGCATGAAGTGAGCACCGCCTGTTGTGGCAGGTGGCCAAATTATAAGACAGAGTTAACAGATTGTGCAGTGTTAGAGGACTGAAACAGAGTTAGAGATGTGGTTTCAGAACCAACCACCTACAACAGATACCACTGAGCAGGAGATAACTTAGACCCTGATGACCCACAACAGCAGTGCTCCAATTCAACCTCCATCCTCCAACATTCAGACCAAAACCAGATATGATGCTTTAAAGGCTTTAGATGTCCACAAGGAAGGCCAAGGAGAACCTGCACCAGCAGGACACAGAGGTTACTGTAAAAAGAAACATCGAGTACTTATAGTGGGTGACTCTACTAAGGGGCAGTGAGAAACCAATCTGCTTGCCTGATAGAGAGTCAAGGCAAGTTTGCTGCCTACTGGGGCCTTAGGACCCATGATGTTGCTGAGAGGGTATCCCAACTTGTCAAGAGCACAGACTGCTTTTTCACATGGATACAAATGATGCTGCAAGCCAAAGAATGAGCAGGATCAAGGAAGGTTATAAAACCCTCATGAGGCAGGTGAAAAACTTTGGTGGCCAAGTCATCTTCTCATCTGTTCTCCCAGCTGGAGAAATAGGAACAGCCAGAAGCAGATGCATACTGCAGATCAACATCTAGTTTTGGGAGCTGGGCCTGGTAACTGGAGAAGACTGAAAGGAGGACCTCATGAATACATACAAATACCACAGACGAGTGGCAGAGGATGTTGCCAGACTCTTTTCAGAGGTGTCTAGCGACAGAAAGAGAAGGCAATGGCTATAAACTAAACCACAAGAAGTTTCACCCTCAACATGGGGAAGAACTTCTTTCCATTGAAGATGGCAGAGCACTGGAACGGGCTGCCCTGAGAAGTTGTGAAGTCTCCCTTTCTGAAGACATTCCAAACTCACCTGAACATATTCCTTTGTCACCTGCTCTGGGTGATCCTGCCTTGGCAGGGGTGTTGGAGTAGATGATTTACAGAGGTCCCTTCCAAACCTAGCTATTCTGTTATACATCACTCAAATGCAACATATGTACTTCAGAAGCTATACAAGGAGGAATTTATACTTGAATCTGTAGGCAATATGTTTAAAAAACGTAATTACCATGAAAGAACTCAGGTTGTGTACCGAGGCACAAGTAGTTCTGTAGAAGCCAGTGATATGTCCCTTCAGCTGACTGGCTGCTGGCACATCTACTGCACAGTGAGAGTTGTCTGTCAGTCACAGGACCATTTTGTGCTTTTCATCCTGTCTACAGAGAATTCAGACACTATATTTCAGTTGGAAGCTTTTTCCAAGGTGCATTTGTCCAAGGCAAGCTGGTGGTCATACAAATTCAGGACATGTGTTGGGCTACAAACCTGACTAGCCCATTGTACACGAGTCTAGACTGGGCAAATAGTTCAGGAACCTGAGGAACTGGAAGCTAGATATTCTGTCTCTAAATATGTTTAGCCTCCTGCCTCAGTTTCCTTTATCTATAGTATATGCAAAATTCCTGATGAATTCCTGAAAAATTCTAGAGACTCTCGAGTACAGAATCACAAGACGTGACTGTATTTCAGTGTTACAGCACTTATCTCAGGGAGCTGCATACATATTAGTCTGAATAAGAACCTCAAGAACCACCCTTTGACATTGCATCGTCAATGTATGTTCATTTCTGAAGCTGTTTTACAATCTTGACTTCTCTCGGCTGCTTTTGTGACTTCAGAAGCTAGATAGGACATGTTGATTTGTTACAATTGGCATATGCTTTCTCTTGTTACCTGCAGGTGTCTGCAAGTTGTTCAAGAGTTCACTTAGCGCATAAGCCCTTATATGAAGTACTAGATGTGATGTATATAAAGTATACTTTACTTATAACAGTAATTTTTTGAGTAGTAAGTTACCCTTTTTCTTTATAGATGAAAAACTGCATAGTGCTGTGCCTGTTCCTTGATATCGGAAGCATTCAGTCTCAGCTCTAGGCCATTTCCCAACTATAGGGCATGCAGCAGGGTGATAGTTTGGGGAAGTTGAAGCATTTTTTGCTAAGATTAGCTGTTCTGAAACTTTCTTTGTGAAAACATTTTGCAGTGTCTTCGGTTTTAGGAGAGATATTTTTATTTTTTTATTTCTTGAATTGTTTTAACAAGCTGACTACTTTTAGGCACACTGCAATGTTACCATCACTCAGCTACTGAATCCAGACCAACTGTTGAATGAAATAATCACGGTTCTTTCAAAGAAGCATGTGGAATATGTTCAGAAGGGGTAAGTGTAAAATATGATGACTTCAACTTATATTTGTCTAAATAGTTGGTATTCCAATCTTTGATAAAGAGAAGTATTTAAGCTTACTTTCTTGGCACAGCTGTAAAATAATCTTATAGAAAATGTACAAAGCACTAAATTAATGTGTGCAATAAAACTTGTTGACACAATGCAAAACTATGTTAAGTGAGCTCCAGCAGAGCTCTTTGACCAACAGATATCAGCCAATAATAGTGAGATAATTAAGGCAAAATTCACATCAGCCTGTGTCTTGTGAAATTTTAAATACAAAAAGTTTGCTTGGGTACAGTCACATGACCAAATGGGACAATTTGGAGGAATAATGTACTAATTTTTCAACCCTCATTCTTGGCAGTTAAAAGACATTAGCCTTTAGCCAAGAACTCAGTATAGTTTAAAAGCTGTGCAGAATACTGACACCGTTGAGTGGATTAACTTGTAGGATTTACTAGCTGGACTAAGGTACTGATTGGTTAGATTGGTTTTTACATCTGCTGAAACTGAATGCCTGTTTCCTGAGTACCCAACACATGAAATAAACATTATGCGCACTTTTCAATATGCATTTTCTCAAGTTTTTGAGTATTTCAATGGTAGGCATCGTGTGTACGTCAGCCTCTGATGAATTTCCAAGCTCAGAATCTGGAAGGATGTTGGATTGCACAGCAGCACCTTCTCCCATTGTAATGTTTCAAACTGTGCATTCAGATTTTCCTGTTTTCACAACAGCTAAGCTATAACCACAAGAGAGAAGAGTGGTCTTACTGTGAAAAAAAGGGAAACTTTCCATCATTCCAGCTCTGAGGATGGGTGTCTGTGGCTAGCAGTGATTTCTGTGGGTAGAACATTGGTGCTGCATGCCTGTTCCTTGGGCATAATGATAACAATAATTCTCTGATAATAAAGTATTCACAAAGCTCTCAGTTGACTAAACTGTGGGTTGTTTCCCAATATTCTGAGTACCAATGGGATATTTTTTGTAAAGTGGTTGTATTAATTTAAAATTACATTACAAAACAAACATTAAATGGTTCAATGATTATTCTGTTTTCCTTTTTGTTTTTTACAGTTACACCCTGAAATGTCAAACACGGTCAGATTTTGGTAGAGTAACTATGGAGTTTGAGTTAGAAGTGTGTCGACTCGATAAACCTGAAGCAGTGGGTATTTGGCGACAACGGCTTAAAGGTGACGCTTGGGTCTACAAGAGGCTGATGGAAGACATCTTATCTAGCTGCCAAGTGTGAGTGGCAGAGGCTTTTATCATGATGTTTTGGAAAGGTCTGTTCAGAGAAGTAATTCTTTGTTACAGTCACAGCTATATTTCAAAAATCTGTCATATTTCTTGGGTTTTAACCATCCCTTTTTTGTACATATGTCTTCTGTATGTTTCCTTGATTAGGTTCATAATAAATGTTCTGCAACTGCAACTTTTTTGAAGCAAAATTTTGTAAGCTGTTCCCTCTCTCATATATTTTTCCCATATCTCAGTTAAAAAAGTAGTGGTGTTTACATGCTGAAGCTTTTTGTGCTATGTCTTCAGTTATCAAGTGCATGTGGCACAGAAATAGTAATTTGCATAATTCTCTTGTCTCTGCTTAAGTAGGATTTATTGAGATCATTAACTAAGTCACAGCTGTGGTTCTCAGAGTTACCCTATATATGCTCAGTGTTGTACAAAATAGGACTGGCTTCAATAAATGTGAAGTCAAGAGTGCTTGGATTTAAACTGTGGTCTCACATAAAGTGTTGCTGTATCTCATTACAAAGCCTCAATGACGCTTAATAAGCCTGTGCACTTTCTGATGCTCTCATGTTAACACGATGATATAAGGATCGCTGAAGAACAGCAGCACCTTTGAACTGTTGGGAATGGAGAAGGCATTTGTCACCCTGACTATCTACAAGGAATCCAGTGACACCTTTAACAGAATTTAAGCACCAGAAATAAAACTCAAAATATGCAGAACAAGAAAGGACACCTAAGAGGTGGCTGGGAGTTAGGGTGATACCTTTGGAAAATGGCGCATGTGCTTGTGCTGTCTGTTGTGCGGAGTGTTTATTTTTGCCTTTATCTGTGCTTTACCAGCACAGATTTTTTTTATCTGGCTAAACCCAAGCAACAGTAGTGGGAAGACACATGTTGAAGCCTTTCTGTATGCAAAGACACCAAGTGATACCTAGACAAGTTGACAGTGTGCTGCAGCTTTTTCTTAAACTACCTGGAGGCAACTGGCACATGCTGCATGTAAAACCCACGTTACTGCGCCTTAACTAGAGCCTGAGGCACATCCACCCAAGGGTTAGGTGGGTGGAGAGCTGACCATTGCTGAACACTTGCAGTGATACACAAGAGATACAGCTGGTAATGAAAGCTGTCTTGCTTGTTTTCTGTGACCATTACCGCACAACTGGAGGGGGTGTTTTGTCTCTACCAAGGTAGAAGTGTCCCTCAATGTTTTTTTCCAATGCCTAGTTGTCACTTTACTGCTTTTTAGACAGGTAAAGGAACAGGGACAATTTTAGCAGTTTTCAAGAAAAAGTAGGAATACTTGCAAGCAGGAAGAGCAAAGAGAAAACTGTTGGTCTTCAAAACATTTCTGGTCAAGAATCTTTTAGATGCAGAAGGCACTAGGAGGAAAAGAGGGACAACATGAACAATGATGCAAATCCACCTGACAGAGGGTAAGAGAGGTTGTAATGAGAGCCAGGGTGGGTCGGTCATGTTAATTGATAAGGGGTGTGGAACATAGTCGTGTTCACTTTTGAAAGGTTATCTAACTGAGGACCTTGTCAAATGGCAAAGTAAGGAAAAGGGGGAAAGTCAGAAATAAAAAATATAGGGACACAAACCTGACATGCAGTCCTGCAAGGAGAATGAAGTCAGACTTGATGATCCTTGTGAGTCCCTTCAACGTGACGTATTCTATGATTCTGTTCAGTGACAGAAAGACAACAAATGCTGTCAGTCACAGCAAGTGGAGGGGCTTTGGGAATACTGCAGCAAACTGGGATTTTGCAGCTAGTGAGACAAATCCCAAGGGTGTGAGATGGCTGGGGGGAGTCAGTGGGGAGGTGCCAGCTGATGGGGTGATGCTCAGGGATCTCAGCCCAGTACTGGCTGTGGGGTAGAGTGTCTGCGTCCTCCCAACCCAGTTGACTGTGGGTATTCCCCAGCAAATGTGAAGCTGGACTAGCAGATAAGCAGGAGGCCTGGGCAGGGGTTTCAGGTGGGTAAAAAGCGCATGCTGGTTTTGGGGGGGACACACAAGCCTGGGGTGTGCCCATGGGCCCCATATGTGAGTGCTGCATGCTTCCAGTGAACACTGGGCTAGACCAGATGGCAAGCAGGGGACACACACAGAGGAGTGTCTTATGCTAGAGGAGACAACTATGCTCAGGACATCCTTTAACTGCTAGTACTGAAGTGTAAATGGTGATGCCTACACAGTGTAGGAAATCTCGTAAGTGGAATGTGACAGGCATATGAATTAAAGGTTTGCATTGCTAAAAGCATAGCTAACCTATTGTTCTAATTAGTGCTTAAAGCTTCATATCAGCATTTAAATACTTTTGGTATTCCCAACTGCAACATGACACTCCTGTTTGGTTTCTGCATACTGAAATTCGAGTTTGCTAAATATCAGTTGTAAATCGGCTGCAAATGATGAAGCAGCCAAGGGTTGTAGCTGATACCTATCTGGAGTGCTGCAGTATTGTGTGAGCTCTGATTTTCCTTGCTTTCTTTTTTCCAATACAAATTTCTCAAGAATTTGGTTTCTGTCTGGAACTGGATCAGAACTGAAGTTAGGGTAAAAGTTGGAAGGGCTGATTGAAGGAGGCATAATGATAACAGTCTCACTAATGAATAGCATGCTATGTGTTTTAAATCACCAATCACAATCATGAATCCCAAGGGCTGAAGAATTGAAACATTCACTTGCCTTTGCACTCACTGAGTTTTAAATTCAGGAATAACTACAGAAGTATCCTGGAACACCCTAACTGCGACTGCTCAGAAGCACATTTTGTGTAATTATCTCCTCCCTATGGTGACAAAACTGATGTTATGAATGCACAAACAGTAATTAAGATGTCTTCTTCATTCCTTTTAAGGTAAAAATCACTGATTTAATTCACATTGTCTTACAAGCTCTGATGTGTGAAATAAGGTTTTCCTCTTCATAGGCTACTCTGTCAATTTTTTTTACTAATATTCCTTGCTGTGAATGCATGCCATCTGGTGATAGGAATCAGTAAATGGGCAAGAACAAGAATCCTTTGTGGTTTTTTTTTTAAAAACCAAAGCGCCGCTTCGATCAGTAATTGTTTTTACTGAAATTGCTGGAAATCTATTTCAGCTGACCTCAGATGGAACTCAAGAGGGAGAAAAAACCAAAGATGAACAGATGAAGGAGCTATGTGGATAAGGAGAAGCATGGGTTGTGTGCCAACTTTGTGGAAGTCTGCACAGAGGAACAGAGGGCCTGAAGATTTGTCTTGCTTCCCTGTTTTCAGGCAGCTAGGTTGTACAATGTCATATGTATTAGTCTTGAAAGCATGCTTGGTATGCTACACCTAGGAGTCTATACTAACCTCTCTCCCTCAGCTAGGAACCTCTTTGAGAGTCTAAACTCAGTTTATGTTCATTATTATACTGATTTGGGTTGGGATTGATTTAATTTCTTCCAGGAGCTGCTACAGTGCTATGTTTTGGGTTTAGGATGAGGATAACACTGAGAACACACAGATGTTTTAGCTGTTGCTGGGCAGTGCTTAACCTCAGTCAAGGGCTTTTCAAGTTCTCATGCTCTAAGCAGTCCACGGGGCACAAGGAGTTGGAAGGGGGCACAGCTGGAATAGCCAACCCCAGCTGACCCAAGGGATATCTTTGACTACATGGCATCATGCTCAGCATTTAACACTGGGGGAAGAAGGAGGAAGTGGGCGACATTCAAAGCAATAGCATTGTCTTCCCAAGTCATGGTAAGGTGTGATGGAGCCCTGCTGTCCTGAGTATGACTGAGTACCTTCCTGCCCATGGGAAGAGGGGAATGAATTCTTTGCTTTGCTTGTGTGCACAGTCTTTTCTTCACCTATTAAACTACCTTGATTTTAAACCATGAGTTTTCACTTTTATCCCCCTATCCCACTGTGGGGGAGTGAGCAAGTGGCTGTGTGTGGCTGAGTTGCTGTCTGGGATGAAACCACGACAGCTCTATGTGAATATCATCTTGGCTTTAGTCATATCTCTCCATGATGCTACCATTTGTCCAAGCATATGACTTTTAGCAACATATGGTTTGTAAGATGGAATTAGCCAAGCTTTGGAGCCTCCTCTTGACTCTTTATTTCTAGATGATCATGGTTCATCTTCCTTTAAGGGCAGGTGGTCAAATGGTCCCTATTCTTATAAGTCCCTGTATGGACTTCATGCAACAGCAAAAATCCTTCTCCTACCAGAACTACTGCTCTACTACTTTGTGCTATGGATATTCATGGTCTTTCCACTCTGCATGTTCTCAGTTCCTCCCTTCTGTTTGTCTCCAACCATCTTCAGTTTTGGGCCCATCACAACAAGAAAGACACTCATCAGTTGGCTAAGTTCTCTAGCTCCTGGTGCACAAACTGTATCAGAGCTCCTCTTTCTGAAAATGGGGCAATGACAAATAGGACTGGCTCTTTTTACTACATATATGAAGCCCTATAACCAGAAAGACAGATGACAAGGTCCCCCTGGGAGGGGCCATGTAAGGACAACACAATCTACCTCAGCATCATGACGTCATCTGTTAGGAGAAAAGAAGAGCAGTTCTCATAAGTGACTCCCTTCTAAGTGGAATGGAGGGCCTGATATCCAGACTGGACCAAATTCACAGGGAAGTCTGCTGACTCTCAGGGGCTCAGGTAAAGGACATTACTAGAAAACTCTCCAGTCTACTAAGACCCTCTGATTATTATTTGTTATTGGTTTTTCAAGTTGGCAATGATGAGATAATAAAGAGAAGTCCGAGGGCACTTAAAAGGTATTTCAGGACCTTGGGATGATTGGTTGATGGATCAGGACCACAGGTAGTGTTTTCCTTGATTCTTCCAGTAGCAAGGAATAAAATTCAAAGGAACAAGCAGATCCATTTGATCAACATGAGGCTCCAAGACTGGTATCATCAGAAAAATTCAGGTTTTTAAACCATGGCATGGTCTGTACAATACCTGTTCTCCTGTCACTTGATGGGATGCACCTCTCACAGGGGAAAAACATTTCTAGCACAGGAACTAGCAGGACTTTTTGACAGAGCTTTAAACTAGCTTGAAAGGGGGAAATGGAAAATGCCATGCTTACCAGCAATGAGAAATAGGATGTTGTGCCAAAACTAGAGGAACTGAGTGCTAATGGGACCACTCAAATCTGCTCCACAAAGTGTCAGCTAGAACAAACCCCACCTGAAATGTTTCTATACTGACACATGCAGCATGAGAAACAAACAAGAGGAGCATGAATCTTTAGTCCTGTCCTAGAGATTTGACATAACTGGAGTGCCATGTATCCCAGGAGGGACAGGCAGGGCAGAAGAGGCAGGGGGATGACATTGTATGTAATAGAAAGGTTAGAATGTCTGGAGTTCACAGTTGGCAATGGCACAGTTGAGAGCCTCTGGGTAAGGATTAAGGGACAAACAAATGATGTGTATGTCATCATGGGAGTCTACTATAGACCACCCA